TTCGAAATCTCTACCTATTGCCTCGTTGATCGCCACGGTCGGTGAGGGGGCAAGCCTCATTCGGCAGCGCGGCTGAATCTTCCGGCAATAGAATAGATGCGTTGGCGCCTTACGCCGACCGCAAGAGCATGTAATACCGGCATCGCTGTGGTGGAATCTTTCGTGGTAGTCAGCAAAATCACCATGATGTGTCCTCGCGGCTACCAGGTGGTGAAGGATTGTTCGTGGGAGGGCTAGCTCCGGTGGACAGTTAGAAGGGAACTTGACGTTCAGATGCTTGTACTTATCGGGTGCAGAAGCATCCCACCAGGCTTGGACTGCGATTTTGGACCGCTGCCTGGCGGTCTTTCGCAAGTAGGCCAGTGTTGGAACTGCGTCTGCGGGTTCGGGTTGGGCGCATCCCGTCTTCGCAGGGATGTCGGCTTGTTCATTTCCTGGAATCTTGGTGTGTCCAGGTATCCAGCGGACCTCGGTCTTTCGGTGCGTCTTTGCTAGGGCCTGAAAGGTTAGGAAGACCCTCTGCGACGAGTCTGATGGCTTGCCTCGAAGGCATTTGGCAGCTGCGATGTTGTCGAGGCATACCACTATTCGTTGTGTGCCAGACTGGGGAAGCCTAAGGGCGGCTTTGAGACCCTCCAGCGCTCCTTTAGCCTCAGCGTCGAACACCTCCGCAGGGCCGAGGCGTCCTGCGCCTTGGCAAACAGAGCGTCCGCTTTGGTGGACAACATAGCCGTATCCGGCAGCACCGCTGGAGGACAGTGAGCCAGTGTTTCGTGGCTATACTTGCGCGGGATGAGTACGGGGCGTTGGCAATTCCCAAGCAATCTGTTCGTCCTCCTCAACCGTGTTGGAAAGGTCTTTGGCGGGAGTTGGTACTTCAACTTGATGCACGGAGCAAATTTAGCACTAGCCTAGCACGTCCTGTGCCCCGTATAGGGGACCTGAGCGGAAAATACACATACATACATACATACATACATACGGAGAGAAGTCCTTCAATCAGATGGTTGTCTATATAAGGCAACCACTGCAATCTCTTTCGTCCAATTACGAAGCTCCTTAGATAATTCTCATTCAATACAATTTGGCGCCTACGGCGCCATTATACTCGATCTTTTGTGACCCTCAATTGTCTGACACCGGGCCACGCAAGATGAAGGATACGGCAGCGACCAAGAGAGTGGCGACAAGTCCATACATTCCAGCCCATTCAGTCAATCAGAAGACGGCATTGATGACGAGGCGTCGGATTTACAGGCCGGGCACGGAACGCACGTAGCTGGTATGATTTACGCGCGAGAGTTGCAGCAAGGATTAAGCGGTACCGCATTGGCACGAGAGAAGTTCCGTGAGGTCAGCACCAAGTGGCATCGGTTTTTCGGGTTCGATATACAGGATACGGCACAACCAGGCCACAAGCGAAAGCTCCCGGGAGGAGGCGCGGTTCCGGCGGTTGCATCAGTTGCAGCAAGTTAACATTAGCGGCTAGTTACAGCAAATGATGGGCCGAGGCACAGAGTTTCGCAGTCAGCAGTCAAGCGTTATACGAGCCATCGTCGCCGGCGGGACGCCTATTATCCAGATCAATCGTGGCACCGAACGCATTAGGGATGGGCATTGATGTGGCGAACGTGCGGTTGGTTGTACACGCATGGATGCCCAAACGGATGCGAGATTATGTGCAGGAAAGCGGCCGGGCCGGACGAGATGATCAAGTCAGCCAGGCAGTAGTAATTTGCGGCGGCATACACAAAGAGAGCGAAACAGACAGGCAGCAGCAACAGGCGCAAAGGGGTCGAAGAAATAAAGTGAAGGAACGGGAAGAAAATACCGTGGATTACGTAGAAAAGGATCAGTACCGGCGGATCATATTAGACAGATCCATGGACGGACGGACAGATCGAGAAGAATGCGAAGATGGCGAGGAAAAATGCGACGTTTGCAGCCGATATTGTTACGAGGACAGCGAAGAGGCACAGGGTAGTCCGGGCAACAGCGCGTACGACGAGGCACAAGCGATATTGAAAGGCAGAAAAAGGAGGCGCAATTCCAGAAATGGCGGGATACCCAGCAAGCGATGCAAGAAGCTGCGACATCGAACGAGTGAGAAGGGTATTTGGAGGATTGGGTTGATTGTTGCGTAATATGCCGGATTGAGAATTGCCCAAATCACAAAACCGAGTAGGTGGCACAGACATACGTTTTGTACAGTTTTCAATGCGCCTCGATCTCCACCAAAATGTCGATTGATGACTTGGGTTGATGGAAAGACAGTCCGAGCTAGCATGCGCCTGGCCCAATCTATGACCTAAATATTGCCCTCCAGCTTTGCATTCCTATTCTGCCCAGAAGCTATTTGCTCTTGGCTTGATGCTCTTACCCCAGGAGATTGACCCGGGATGGTTCCGCTTCCACTTTGCTTATTACCACTGTCCCTTACGGTGCCGGATGCAGGTGGTGCTGATGACGGTTGTGATGGATTCCCGAGAATGTTCTTTCCCTGTCTCTACTGCACTGATATTAAAGGACTTGTGCGCTTTGAAGAGAGCAATATCCTCAGAATCAAAGCAAGTTATCGCCTATCTCAAGCCCTAGAGTGTAAGTCTAGTTGGGGATGGAAATTAATCAGAGTGCCGAACGATATGAATGCTGGCATACCTCTAATTGGTGGTGTACCAGCTGCGATTTGATTGTACTGTCCCGTAGAGGCGCTTGATAAGCCGCTCCCACTTGTTCTAAACTTTTGTGTGTTGGCATCATTCGTTTCGCCATGGTTATTGAATGGAGGTGCAATTCTACAAGTTGCCAAAGAGCGATTGCGTATTTAAAGTGATCAGCCAAGATCAGTAATGAGACCGTGGTAGGAGTCTTGTGGGTGGTGTTTTTTGGGTGACACACGTCCGCGCATTGTGATGCACGGGTCATTAAGGCACGCACGGCACGGAGGAATCGCCGTGTCAACGGTTGGCCATTAGTCTTCAATGACCCCACAAATATTTACTCATACTTCAGGTATTTGCCCATGCCCATTATAAATGTAATTCTGTTTGCCCAGACTGGTGTTTTATTGTGGATGGGTCCCGCGGGACCTTTCAACCAAAAAAAAAAAAACCGGAGTATTTTCTACCCTTGCCGCAGCAACATCTAGTGTGAGTGCCATGTGTAGCATCTGTCACGTAACACGGTTGATTGGATAACTGGGCATGGATCGGGAAGAAGATCTCCTGTGAATTGAGCAACGACAGACTCTTGATTCCCCACATAAAAGAGTGGAATCATACAGTACGAAAGCTAAATAACTTTAGAATACTTCTGCCTTGGAAGCAGCAGTATAATTATTGTTGTTGCCTTCCAGGCAATAGCATAACTATCGTGTTTGCTTTGAAGATTGATTTGATCTTAACTACATCACTACTGTGTAACGGTAATACACACACACCTCATCTTCATAGGTACATGACAAACATGCCAAGCATTGGGCTTGAGGGGGACTGGTAAGCAGGTCATGTTGCTAGGGATGATTATGGTCTTTCGTATTCCTTCCATCATAGCCTTGGTGAATTCGATGGCTCCCACTCCCGCTACCTATCTGTTGTTTCGTGTGCTTGTTTTGGTCAGCGCAATTTCTGCTTCATCTTAATGCCAAGATTGCCACTAACATATCCCGTGTCTACGCCCCTTACATACCGCAACAAACTCGGACTGAACTTCACAGCGCGGTGAAACCTTACCTGCTAGCTGCGAGTTGCTAGCTCCCACCCTCTTTCTTTCATATATCCTGTGTCCACCATGCCTCATCGTCCCTACATCGACAGTGCGCCGCCTCTACTGCCGAGGCACCACTCCGCACACGGCACTGTCAGTGCCTTCAGCAGTTCTGCCCATCCTGATGAGGACTGGACCAAGATATCAGACCTTGTTGAGCGCCGAAGGATACAGAACCGCATTGCCCAGCGCACCTACCGTAAGTGAATTTTCCGCCCTCTTGATAACGTAGCCTAGATTGCTGACATGAATGACTCTCTTCAGGATGCAGGCTTAAGCGCCGTCTGGAAGACCTCGAGCGTCGTGATGGTTCATTAGACGATGCCGATACTGAAAAGAAGATTCAGCCTACTAGCACCAGCAAGCCGAAGCGCCAATTGATATGCAAGACGCAACAGTCATATCCTCATGTTCTCGCTGACAAGCCAATCCGCATTGCTCAGAACCAATTCCCTCATCCCAAGGAGAATAACGAGGGTACTGTCATTAGACCGGTATCCAAAAGTCGTGAGCGCTCACACACGCCTCAAATGTTCGGGTACACAACATATTCTGCTCCAAGTGAATTGTTGATGGATCCTTACGCTCTTATACAGCCTCAACTTTCTACCTCGACTGCAGACCCATACCCAAACTCCCTCATAACCACAATGATGCCCGCAACTCTTCCAGAAATGACAAACTTCAGCACACCCATGAAGCCATTCGAGGAGGCCTTAAGCTCATACCTGAACTACAGCGGGCCGAACATTAACACACCTGAACCAAGAGTGCAAGGTATATCAGGTCCTACTGTACAATGGGTACTCTGTCATAAGGTGAATTGCAACACGTTTTCGCCCTTGTACGATACGAAGGGCTATGTCATTTCCCTCGCGCCGTTAGCACTGGGCGTATCTACAGCCGCTGCAGATGGGACTCGTGAGCACTTGAAGAACAAGTCTCCAAGTTTAGGTGGCTAAGATTAACTGTGACGCTACGAGGGCACGAGTAAGGTCGAGTGCGACGCGAAAAAGATTATCCCCAAGGAGGGAAAGAGAATTCCCAAGAAAAACGCTTACTAAAGCTATTTACACATTGTATCTCATACATGGGCACTTTCGGTCGTTCGGTCGTTCGTTCGTTCCGTTTAAAACGTTTATGCATGTTAGACCGTTTAACCGTTTGAGTACGTTCTAAAACCGTTTGAACGGTTAAACGATTTTGCAGCCGTTGCAGTTGCAGTAGATAAATCTCTCGAACTCGTCGACATCGGCCCAAGTCCGTGATGCCAAGTTCAAAATATCCCCTTTTCATGAACAAGTGTGGCGCGGCGGGCCGAAGAGGTGCAATCGGCTGAGTCGATGGCAGTAACGCCACCAAATGAAGCTAATCTCTCCCACAGCCCCTGAGCATCGACTGTGTAACTAGGCAGCTAGCTGCTAGGGAGTTTCCAATTCCTCTCTGCAATGTAATATATTTGTTCAGCCGAAGGCTGACTCTACATTAATCCATAAGTTTTCCGAATAATGAGGGTTTGGTGCAGGCTTGACAAATAAGTTTCTATTGGTCCAAATTTTGTATGGGAAATCGCGAAAGAAGGCTGGATTGGTTGGTGGCTCTAGAAAAGTGGGTAAAGGACAGCCACCGTCTGTCGGTGCTTCTTTGTTTACTTCTCTGTTTACAATCGTTTACAATCGTTTACAATCGCTAAATTTGCCCAGCGATCTGTTCGTTTGCTTGGCCAGCAGCCTTTCTTCCATTATTGAAATAGATGTACCGCATGGTTGGGTATGAATTATGATTCAACCGCATGGTTGGGTATGGATTATGATTCTAGGGGTAATATTAGTCCTAGATCTGAATTGGCAGTCCATTGCCCGTCTTGCGACCGAACAAAATCACCAAGTAATTTCGTTAGCAGGAGGAAATCTGCCAATCCAACTACGACCTGTCTGGAATGCCGGGACCACCGCAATTCCG